TAGCATACTACTCAGTATCCAACTTACTGAGAAAGAATATAAAGGATTCAGTTCTGAACTTAACAACTACAACCCAAAGAATCCAAAACATGAGAGAGCTTGTGAAAAATAACACAAACCCCAACTCAGATCATATAAATTAGGATGTGCATCTAACTTCATACAATTCAGGGCCAGGGTCCTAAGAAGAAAGTGGTATCACCTTAGAAACCAAGGCTGGTGAGGACCTGAAGAGGACAGTTTGTCCACATGGGATCAGCTATACCAGTGCCATCTCTGATGGGCGCTTGGGCAGCCAGTGCCAGAAGATTGGCAGGGGTGGTGACAGCAGCCACCCCAGGCAGGTCAGATTAACACTTAAATGTTGTTAGGATGGGAAGGGTTGTTCTGATGCCTCCCTTAATCCCTGTCTGTAACTCCATTCTTCTCTCCTGCTCCCATCCATAAGGAGAAGAATTTATTCTTTTTCTCTTCATAGCTGTATCTTTTATATACTGTTCTCATATCTCTCCTCGGCCTCCTTTTCACCAGACTAAGCAATCCCAATGCCTTCAGCAGTCCCTTGGGAGCTGTTTTCATGTCCACTCTGGAGTTGGTCCACATCTCTCTGCAATTTCTGTGCCAATTGTTGGCTGTAACTTTTTGCTAAAGTTTTACCAGCACTGCATAGAAGACTTGGAAAACTTCAAGGGCATCCCAAACAAAAGGCCAGTTTGTGCAATGCAACATGAGGTTTGCCTTTTAATTTAAAAAGAATTTAATTATTGTTGCATTCAGTTTATGATTCATTTTTCTGAACCTTTTCGACCTTATTGCTTCCCATCTACTCATTCCCTATCTGTGTTTGCACAGTTGGGATGTTCCTATGCAGTTAATATGCAAAGACTCTATTCCACTATCACTCCCTGTGTGGTTTATTTAGGCTAATTTTCTCTCTGTGTAACTATTAATTTATTGTTGTCCTCCAAAATTAAAGGCAGAACCATCTTCTCAGAAAGAGAAGGAATTACTATTTAAAAATATTTTGCATCAATTAATTCTGCTCAATATACTCAAGTTTACAAAACAGTGATCTGAAAGAACATCCTGTCAAACCCTTCAGACTCTTACAATTGTGACATTTTTCCCAAAGAAAATATAAATTTAGATTACTGTGGCTGTGGTGGTTGCTTGGGGGTGGTACACAGGAAAGAATTAAGAAATAAGGAGAAAAAATTAAAGAGGAAATATTTTAGTAGATAATGGAAATCAGGCTATCACTTGCCTTGTCTGAAAGAGTTTTCCTACTTTGCCATTCCCCACCCCACCATTTTTTTTCCCTTCCCTTGTACTTACTTTCATAGATACCAAGGCACTATTGTGGATTTAATCTCACGGTAACTAAATACTGCTATAGGAGGAATGCAAGCACCCCATACCCAGAGTGCTTCACACAAACTTTGTCTTAACCATGGAGGTTTCCTGAGAGTCTCCAGGAACCCTAGCATGAGTTTAGGTCCTGAAGTTTTGCTGTTCTTTCTGTTGAGTTTGGGGAAAAGTCAGGGATGAAAAGAGAGCAAAACAGGCTCCAAAGCTGCTGGGAACTCAAATTAGGCATCCCCTGTGCAGCCCCCTGAGTCTGATAACCACAGAGGTGACGGATTTCCCTCATGCAGCCATCGGTGGATTCAGTCCCTTCTTGGGCTGCAACACTGCAAAAGCCTGTTGCTTTCTTTTCAAGAGGATACACAAATAATGGCACACAAAGGTGCAGCCCTTCAGCCACGGTTAAAAGACACATCTGGGAGAACAAGAGAGGCAGAACCTGATGCTAAGCTCAGCTGCTCCAGCAGATGCAGGTCCCAGCTCCTAGGCTTTATGCCCTGGACCATCCATGTGTTTTAGAGTCTTGGAATAAAGCACATACACAGCTCTGAGTGCTGGTCTCAGGGAGGGGGTTAGCTTTGGGATGGTACCAGCCCAGCTGTGTTTTCCAGGCAAAGCTGGACCAGCAAGGAGGAGTCCATCCCATTACTACTTTGCTACATCAACTTCCAGAAGTATAACCAAGTACATTTCTGTGGATTGGTGTGTTTCTTAAATAAGGAGATGGATCGGCTTGCCAAATACCTTATCTTGTTTGGCAGTAACTTTCTCCCTTGGAAGATAGTTTCTAACTTGCAGCCGAGAAGGGTTGCTTGTAGCCAATGTCAAGAACAGATCAGCTTGCAAGGCTCAGTTCTGTAACATTTATTTTGAACATGCCAGAGAACCTACCCCATTTTCCACTTTGTGCCTCACCCCTCTTTATTTCAGGGTTTCTTTTCCCCCACCCCCCTTTCTTTGGTACAAATAAAGAGTAAAGAATACAGTTGCTATGGAAAGTAGAGCCTGTGCTCTAACCCTTAACTGAGGTCCAGTCCCAGGGCAGGCAGGGAAAGCACAGACTGCTGAAAGACATCAGTTATTTAAGTAAGAGCATGCACATCATCTGATTTCTTTGCTAAGAGTGACATGGTCAAAGCATACATCCTGTAGTTCAGAGAGACCAAACTCAAACAACTGCCCCTGCCTGACCCTCCCTTAAAGTAGACTAGGTGGTGGGGTCTTACAGCAGATCCCAATTCCTTCTCTTAAATATGATATTGTTAAACACCAAGCAGGGTGAATAGAGCAGGAAGTGGAAACAAAAATAATATGACACAAGAAAGGTTAACTGGATTTCTCACTGGACTGGGTAGTGTGATCAAAGTTTGAAAATGTCTACTCCTGTGACACATTTAAAAATTAAATACCTGAGTATATACAGAGTGTATAAAATAAGAACCTGAGACAAAGCATTTAACATCCTGCACTTACATTTTTACAAAGTTACAGCATTTTCCCCCCTCAGATAATCCATTTTGTATTCCTAATTATTTCTATGCTGTGTAAAATATACCCATTAGAATATGTTAAGTATACTGAGCACAAAACAGATCAAATATGTACAAGACAAGAAAACTTTTTTTAATAAAAATGTCAAATGCACAAGTAGAGATCTTAAAATACTTAAAAAAAAACCTTTAAAGTGTGTGAAAAATCCAGTAAAAATATACTTTTATTTTTTGCTGTTTCAAAGAATGTAGTAGATCAGAGATTGTAGGTTCAGGCTAAACTATCTCTGTGTTAAGAGCAGCTTAATACTTTGCCAAGAAGAAACCCTTGAGAATGTGCGTGATTTCAGCACCTGTGCTCTCAGTGAAGGGCTTAGTGATCTGTGTGCATATGCTTGTGAAAATTGTGCAATAACTTTAGTAAAGTTAGAGGTCCATCTGTTGATTTCCAAAGTTCTGATGATTTTTCTTGAGCACAATTGGCTTGAACAGTTTTAAAACTTGGAAAATCATCAAGATCTCCATCTAGGCTCGCTGTGTTTGTTCAAAACATCAGAAACGGTGGAGGAATCTGCATGAAAGAGTTGTGCAGGTCACTGAACCCCAGGATAAAAGCAAATCTTCATTTTTTCATTTCAAAAATAACAAATCTTTACTGAAGGATCAAAAGCTTTAGTTTTCACCTTACACACACAACATTTCAATGACATTTTCTGTTAGAGAGCAGTGTTTCACTAAGACAAGCCAGACTTTATTCAATATCACATGACCCTTGAGCTTTCAAAGTGGAATTTTACCATCAATTCCAACATGGCAATGCCATTGCCATCCCTCAGCGCCTGCTCTGAGCCAATACAGGTGCTCCCACAGCTAAGTGGTAAACTGGATTGGGTGAAAACAGCCTGAAAGATGAACAGTTTTCCCTACGGATCCTTCCAGTTGGATCAGCTTCTCCAACCTGGGTCCCTGCATGGCAGCACTCACCGTAGACAACAGCTATGGGTGGGTGGGAAGCAACATAACATAGTTTAGGGCAGGATGTTACTAGGTGTCTATGGGCTCAGATTATTAGTTACATGGATGGGGTTTAGCTCTATCAACCCAGCCAAAAACCAGCTCGTTGGCCAACTAGCCAAGATGGTCACTTTTGTTCTTACACATGCTGTACTTCACTTAGCAGGACTCAGAGCAGATGACAGCAAGGTGAGGCTGCAGGTGAAGATTTTGCCCAGAAGTGGATTACACCCTGAGCTAAGCTGCCTTTGTGTCAGAGGAGAAGAATAATTTTAAAAAACCTGCATTTTTTGTTGTTATTTTTCAGAAGGGAAGGCAAAGAAGGGAATAGAGGAAAGAAGGGCATAAAAGGAATCTTAGCACTTCTTTGACTAGGTATTTTCAAAAGACTAGAGATTACAGAAGCAATTTTGTAAATACATTTCTATATCTTCCTCTAAGACTACTGCACATGATAAAGCACACGGTGCAGCCATCAATACACTGCTTTTCAGTTCAACTTGCATTTTTCTGCACAAATGCTTTCTGGGTGACTTCACCCTTTGCCTGTTCCTATACAGCAGATCAAGTAAACCAAGCTTGAAAGGCTGAAATGGCCTGATCAGAAAGCTTACAAAAGCAAGAGAGTAACTGCCGGTTATACAAACACAGTCTACTTCATTGCTGCAATTTTACATCAGCACGAGGTTTAGAAATCAGATTCTGTAATTACTTAAGTAGCTCATTCTGCCTAACCAACAGCAGGTCCTAGTGCATTGCTAGGAGAGTAACGTCATCTCTGCACTTTGCTCCTCAGAGAAAACTGACTGAGGAGCTTTCTGGAGGCTTTCAATCCTTATATTAAAGCTTGAGGTAGCATGCATTGGGAGCCCTGGAAGTACACAAATCAGCAGCCCATAATGAGACTGGAATAGGCAAAATCCTTTAAATGATGGCTTTAACAGCCAAGGTCTACATATTACAGTGTGGTATTCTGGACATAGCAAAGAGTAGCCATGTTCCCAGGGCAGCAAATGAAAACTTATGCTGAGTATCGTGGTTATCTGAAGCAAGCAATTATGATACCCCCAAACCCATCTCCTGGGGTTCGTTATCCTTACCTTCTCTAAGGAAGTCTAACTGCTGGGGCCTTTAAATGCAAATCCATTCTTTGGACACTGTCCTGGCCGGATCATTTGTGTGTACAAGTCCATCCTCTGCTGCATACTACAAACACAAGTTAAGATAGAAGCAATCAGAAGCCACACTAGTGCAGAAGAGAGAGCCAGCAGCTGGCTATGCTACCTTAACCTTTCATAAAGCCCTGGGCGGATATCAAACTTCAGGCCACATAATTAGACATTTGTAATGCTCCCATCACCATGGCATCAGGAGCAGTTCAACAAAAGCAACTACACTGGGGTGATCAGCCTCCCCTAACGGGGCAACACATGGGGACACACAGGATCTTGTTGAAGACGACCCTCTCCGGACTCTGCCAGTCACAACTGACCGGTCTCAAGAGAGTGACCCTGGAGATCAGAGACAAACACACCTCCTGTACGGCTGGAGCCACACATACTCTCAGTCTCTAAAGGAAAAAGTTAACAAGTTCACTACTGGGTAGACCTACATAGGCTACTTATCCCTGAAATTGTCGTAATACTGAGGGATGCCACAGGCTTCTCCTGCATATTATACAATTTTAAATTGAAAGTGGAAAAAAAAGCAACTAAATTCCCCTCCCCCCCTTCAAAGCCCATACTTCTTGCTCAAAGCCACCTTTATAATTTTGCCTGATCTCCTGAGCATGGCTTCAAGCACCTGTCATTTCCATCAGCACTTTCATTCTATTCCTTAGACCTAGGATAGCCTCCCCAAACCTCACTAGAAAGGTAGTTCCCAGACCACCTTCACTTCTGTTCTCCAAGCTTATGGATAAAATTATATTCGTGAAAATAAAACTAAGCCCAATGGCCACTGTCCCAAGATGCCTTCTGGAGGAGTTGTCCATCCCCAGGAGTCCTACAGCATTAGCCTATATTCAGTCTCTCTAAATTACAGCTCAGCTTCATGAGTTCTGCTGTACCTTTTTAAGTCTAGTAGGTGCATTTGCCTCCCAGCATGTGTTCTCACCACTGTTTGCAGCCTTCCCCTTCCCCAGTTCCCACTATTTATAAAGCCCTGGGTCATCGTCATACAGCACAGTGTGGAAGGGGATAGCTCAAGCACAGCAGGTGACAAGCAAATTCAGCAGACAAGAGCCCCTCCCAGACACAGATGTTTATGGTTTCCCTTCAGAGAAGTCTTCAAGGATTTTCACTAAGCAAATGCACTTGACTGAGGTCTATACTAATTCTACAGCTATCCATGTCTGGAAGGAGAGCAGTTTTTCCATAGGAACTGCTTATAATGCTTTTTTATCCCCACAATATTGTGTTCCTGGGTACCCTGGTGAATAGTTCTTCACTGGTGGGTCCACTAGATAGCAGGGATTGTCTAATGTCAAAGATGATGCTCGCAATCATTTATACAAAATTTGAGCCTATTGACAGAAAAACAGCTATAGGAAGTTAAAGATTTTATGCTTTAGAGGAGCATCTTCATACAAGTTTATCACGATACAATACTTCCTGCTAATGGTTCCCTGCATGCCTTTTCCATAATATTGATAATTTTAATCTCTAACAAAAACACTACCATAGTCACTATACCTATGTGCTACTCAGCTTCCCAGGCACAAGGTCCAGGCATGAACTTATGACACTAAGGAGGCTGAAAATAAGTCTTGCCACTGTCCAGCTTTGGAGCTTATTGCCACCATATGCTTGTTATGACTACAAAGTTTTAAACATATCTAAAGAGGAAGGACATTAATCTATGGCAGGTATGCCCACTTACGGTTTGGGTGCAAGCTCCAGGTCAGTGCTCTCCATTAGCTACCTGCCAAATACCTCTGAGGAAGGAGCTCTCCACAGCTGCCAACAATGCTAGCAAGGCACTATTTGCTTTTATTTACTTATATTTCATGGACTCTTTAGACATAGCCTCTCTGGTAGACAACTGCCACAGGTTAGAGGCTAGTACCACAAAGGGACATGCTTGTCTTGCTTTAGAGCAATGCTAAGGCCACAATAATTAATATAATTTATTCAGGAGTAATTTTAAAAAGTGCTCTAACACCCAAAATACTTACAGTTTGCACATGTTAGAAGCTTTGATATTCTTTGTCAGATCTTCCATAGCCTTACTGGAATTGCCACAAAACTGTAGCTAGTTAACAGACCCTTGTTTTGGTTTGGTTTGGCAGTTCCAGCAAATATCCTCTTTTTGATAAAATGTCAGATAATCGTTATGAGTTTCCAGCTACTGCTAGATGCACATATATGTAGAACATTTAATTTAAAAAATTTTACTTTGTTTCATTGAACAAGATGCACTCCCCAGATTATTTGCAACCACATAGCTTTGTGGAAAGTGTCATTAATCTTTTCATCCAGACAGCTGAAGCCATCAAAAAAGGGCAATTTGTGCATCTGAGATAAGAAAACAGAACACCATAAGAGAACTTAAGCTACAGAATAGTTGAAATTTTTCTAGAATCCTTATGAAAACAACCCCATTACTTCCAAAACTCACATGAAGAGCAAAGAAAGTTCTTTTTCCAGTTTCCTTTGCAGAGTTGATTCTTATGAGGGAGGGGAAAAAGCCCAACTCCCAAACCAGACCACGATGCAGCTTTCTGAGGGAAACTAATTTAGTAAAGCAAGACAAAGTTAACTTGCACTGCTGTTAAAAAAACCCAAACACCAAAACCAAACAAGAAACCACCAGAAAACAACTACAACAAGGCAGACACCTTAGGCAATCTAGCCTTCTTTTTGAAGCAAGGTTTTGAACAAGGTTCCTTCCCTTGTCTTTGGAAGATGTTGCGGTTTAACTGAAGTTCCTCTGCCTCTCTGGCCCTTGCTGAGAGACTGGGCTGTGAGAATGTGCAGTGCTGGGGACAAGAACTGTGGCTGGGTATCTCAAGGAACAGCTTTCCCACCATCCCGGCCACTTGACCCTGCTGCTGAGCCTCTGTGTGCTTTCTCCTCAGCTCTAGTAGGACAGTGCTCAGCAGAGCAAAAGTGCTTTCCCTTCAGTCCTCTTCCCCCTGCACCCCACATTATTATTATTATTTTTGCAGGGTCCTCACCTGCTTCAGCAGAAGTCGGAGTTTAAAACTCCAGCTATTCAGGCTAAACCTACTGGCTTTGCATGGAGATGCTACAAGCGCTTGCTAATTTATAACACCACCTTGGAGAGAAAGGTAACAGACAGCTTCAGCTCCAGGTTAGGCTAAGGGCACTACCTGCTCTAATTCCCAATACAAGATAACATGGGCTGCCCCCAGCTATTTCTGTGTTCCCCCAAACTGAGGGGTGATGACCTCCTAGAGGAACAGCAGCGAGTGACTTAGAGTGGCCACATCTCCAGGTGGAAAAGCAGTAGATAGAGGACACTTGTAATGAAAAGTGCCCAGAGAGGGATACAAGACAAATAGCTAGTCCAGCCTGTCTTCTCTAGTTAAACAGACCCCAGGAACAAATACTTGGGGTTACATGGGGTTAGAGAGGATTTCTACAGCCATTCTTAGCAGTTGCATATCACTATATAATGATGCAATGCAAAACCTTAACTCTTTTTATGTCAATCTAGTTCTTGAAATCAATGTGATATGAAGCATTTCCCAGTGAAAACCTTTTTTCCTTATGAATTGATCCTTCTTCTTGGATCTAATCAACAGCCAGATTGGATTTTTCTTCCAATCAATACTTTTGAGATTGTAGTATTCTCCAGAGACTCTCAAAATAAAACACAATTAAGTTTGATAAATCAGTTTTAAATGCAAGAACAAGTTTTCACACATTCGAAAGGCTGATGTTGGCATTCAAACAGCATTTATGCACCTCAAGGAATCCCAAACATTCATAATGAAAATATTATGTAGAAACATGGAGGATCACTGTCTATCCTGTTTGATTTCCTAATACTTTTTCTATTATACATTTGCTTAAGAGGTACCAATATCCAGAAGGAAGCTGTGGTTTATATTAAAAGGGGGTGTGAGTTGGGAGCAGGCAGCATGTATAACCAAGCAGATTTTCAGATCTCTACCAAGTATTCTGCAGGTCAGTCAAGAGAACCATAAACATACCCAGAACTATTTGCACATAGGAACAGATATGTGCATGGACACTATCTACACGTTTCAGTTCCCTCCCTGCAGGTTTTCTGTCCCTATTTTTACTTTGACTTTGTTCTCCATAGTTCTGAAAGCGTTTTATTATTAACTGTTTTCTGCTCTGTGACACCAGATACTGAAGATATCCTTTCCTCAGGCTACTGATTCTCAGCTTCTATTAATTTTAGGACTGTAAGGCAGATCCTATATTCCAGGTTAGTTTTACTACATATCCCTCACTGTCCTACTCAGAGGGATACAATAAGGAAAGCCACGGGTTAGAAAATAAAGGGCTGGGGGCAGGGAAGAAAAACATGTCAGACTCATCCACTAGTATTTCAAGATTAAATTAGTCTCCCCCTTTGCTAGCTCTAGGAAGCCCAGCAGACCCTGAGGAACTCTGCAGCACCCCAAAACCAGATCCTCTGACTGAAGCACATCACCAAGCAGCCTTCAGAAAGCCTCAAGGAAGTTTGAAAGATCACCCCAGCATCCAATGGGCAGAAAACAACAGGGATTTTCAACTACTCCTTGGGCTGGCACAGGTCACCTGTATAATGTTTATGTATATACAAGCTTACAACATAATGCCTATAATGTTCATTGCTGGAAAGGAGCCCAAAAGCAGGCAGAAATGCAGCTTCAGTATAAAGCATCTTTAGAAGAAGTTCATACAAAGTTCTAGAGAGGCAGAGCTAGTAAGTTCTGGGGTATAACTACAAAAGTTGAAAGTTTTAACATGGTACTTTTTTCACAAAAGGTAACAAGACATGCTATTAGCAAAAATATTTACATAGCTGGAATAATTTTCCTTTTACAAGACTGGAATGTTTATCCATATCTAAAGAAAGAAAGGCCATATAACTTCCCAAGTAGCAGAAGTATGAGCACTAGCTCATCAGGCCATCTGTTAATCAAATAGAAACATTTAGATCCCCATGACTGCTGTTCAATCATGGACAAATATCACAAACCATGTTCTCAACAGGGAAGGCTTTTT